TTCATGCACCATTAATTCTCACACAGCAAATACACACATTCTTCACTGACAGCAAGCTACAGATAGTCAGCACTATCAGAGTTAATGCAAGTTAATGCTTTCAAAGTTTGAAAAAAACAACTGGCAGGCAGAGCTGTTTTCTAAGACACAATGAATGAGCAAAAGCTACTGAACTTTCCTTTCATACCAAGCTGCCTATACAGAAACAGTGCTGTCTCTACACAAACAGTGTTTTCTCCCCAATCCTCAAGGGAATCCAAACTGCTGTTAAGCTTGCCTTGATGCTTTGGAAGGATACACACTTTGTGTCAATTATGTTAACTGAACATTGCTCTGTATATTATTTTTATGAATGTTGATTTATTACATCTGTTAAGACTTCCTCAACATAGCAAAAACTTCAGTCAATGAAAACTCTGCTGAAAAAAGGAGAAAAGGGAAAGGGAAAAAAACAGTGAGATACAGTTAATTAATAGATGATGATGATGTAAATTAATTATTTGCAAAAGACCAAATTTTCACTGGTTGAAGGGGGACAAGGGAAGACTTACAAAAGCACCTGCAAGGAAAACAAATAGACAGCAGTTCAGTACAAATCTCTGCATGCAAACAGGTACTAGATTATGACCTTCTCCTGTGACCTAAATCCTCATTTTTAAAAATTGGTCTACATCTTGCAAACATGATCCTGGCGTTGCCAGGTGATGGGCAAAATGGAGGGCCACTATGATGGGCAGCAGGAAGCACCAATCCCCAGGAATCCATTAGAAATAGGCCTAAGCGTGACTCTAGTAATTATTATTATTTATTAATTAAATTTGTATACTGCCCTTCATCTGTAGATCTCAAGGCAGTTCTCAAGATAAAAACACAAAAAACATTATAAAAAACAAGAATGGATGACACCCACTACAATAAAACCATTACAATAGCCCAACAAAAGGACAAAACAGTTCGCTGAGCGTGCTTGTCTATACATAGACAATCTAATGCAAGCCCAGACAAGGCAGTTCTTGGCATTTTCCTTTTATTCACAAAAATGATTTATTTGTATTTTCTACATTAGCTGAACACACCCACTCCAGTATCTTACATTGAAGTTGTAGATAGCTCAATTGGTTAGAGAGTGGTGCGGGTAATGTCAAGGTTGCAGGTTTGATCCCGGTGTGGGGCACTGCATGTTCCTCCATTGCAGGGGGCTGGACTAGAATGATTCTCAGGGTCCCTTCTAAATCTACAATTTATGAATCTATGATTCTAGGACATGCAAACTGCTCCTGTGATGTGAAGTTCTCGCCCAGGTAAACCTGGTCTTTCAAATGGATGCTTCTTAATTTTCCCTGTCAAGCTCTTGACAGTGTAACACTGTCAATGTGTGGTTTGTAGGAAGAAAAAGAGCCAGGAATAACAACAGGCAGATGAGAAAAGCACTGACAGAGTTTTCATTAACAAGAAGTCAGAGGAGGAGATTCAATCTGCAGTCAGAGCAGCTCACCACAAGGGGCAGCAAAGCACAGCTGCAAAGGTCACCTGCTGTGGCAATGGCAGCTCTTGACAGAGCTGGATAAATGTACCACCATGCTGATGCCAATCTCAGCTTCCATGTTCCCTTGATCTGAGTCAATAAAAACTTTCCTTAGGGGACACACTGTCATGTTCATCAACAGCGTTTCATCAAATGCGGGCGACAGCTATTTATGTCTACAGTTAGCAGCTTTAAAAACTGCAGTCAGATGAAGCTTTACAAGGGACTTTGAGATGTCTTGCCTGAAGGAAGAAAAGGAAGATCAATATGTGGAGCCTATTTCAGTACTTTTGAAATCCTCATTCTTTTTATTCTTGTTTTAGTGAGAGATTAATGTCCAACAGTTTGACAAAAAGGCCAGTACAGCTGCTATTGCTTCTAAAGCAACAATACACTAATTTTGCTCAATTCAGGGTGCACCACAGTTTGAAGATAGGAAACATATTTATTTTATCCATTCTGTTTTTATACCACATAATAATAATATGAATGTATACATGCGGTGAACAAAATTTAAAACCAATACAAAATAAACAATCAAATCCATACATTAAAAATTTACCGGTAAATAAAATGCAGCATGTCCACGTAAGATCACTGAAATACAATATGGACCACCACTTACTACCATATTTTAGTCCCCCACCCCACCCCAAATCACATATATTAATCTTAATGCAAATTCCCCAAAAAGAATTACAATAAAACAGGCAATAGATCATTCACAATCATTTGTCATCTTGCATCTTATGTAGTATTACAAAATACTGTAAGCCACCTTGAGCATTTCAAAGGCTTTACTGCTTGCTTTTCAATCAAATAATCCTCAAGGTGGCTCAAAGTGAGCTCAATCCTCAAGGTGGCTCAAAAATTTATTCACTCAAAGTGAATAAATTCTGGCTCATTATCCTGTTCAAAAGCAGTCACAGCTGCCACCACCAGGAAATAAAAGCAACTGATCAAGGATGTAGAGCACTTCATACTGTACTTCCTGGCTGCTTCCTCTGCCTCTTTTGTTCTGAGTTACTTTTTTAAAAAAAGTGAGGAAGTATAGTAATTCACATCCAAAAGCTCTTAATGTGAAAATTATATATATCATTGCACCAATACATCAGTGCCGAAGGAATTTCATCCTACTGTTCAATACATTATCAGATATGTGAGCCTTGTGGAAAGGTGTGTTTTTTTTGTTTTTTTAAACTTACGTTTGGCTACTGTTCCGAGTTCTAAAAAGCAAGTAAAATAGTGCTCTAATTAACATGCACCATATTCATAGCCTCTATGGCCAAACTTTCTGACATCTATTATATGCAGTGAGTGTAAACAAGGTAATGCAGTTTTTCCTCCCTGCTGAGGGCAGCCATCCCTCAGGGATAATTATCAGGGAGTGCGGGGGGGGGTAGGAGCAGGGCCACAGCTGATAGTAGGCAGGGCTCCCCTTCCCCACCTTCCCTTTCCCCCTTTTTGTATCTCCCTTTCCCCTTACACAATTACCCTGCTTCTTGCTACTCAGTTAACAGGCACATATGACTGGTGGTCTAAATGGTCTGAAACCAAAAGTTGTCATTTAAAAGACCAGGACAAGTAAGTGTTTATATTTAAAACAAAACTATTCTATGTCTTGACCTTCTTATTCTAATGCTTCTTTAAATCCCCACAATTTTATTTACCGGTATTTTTTTCATAAAATTTATATGCCGCTTGATTGCACAAAAAAACCCAACAACCTCAAAGCAGTTTTATTTTATTTATAAGATCGTTTTAAATCCAGCCCTTCCTCTTGAAGGAGCCTAGGGGGGCAGAAATGATAAAAACAGCTAAAAACAGCTCAAATATTCTCAACCTGCAATCTCTGAGTTGCTTGAAACAGGAACTTTCAGCCATGCCGGGGAAGCACAAATGTTTTCAAATTTCGCCTGAAGGATAATAATGAGGGAGACAGATGCACCTCGCTGGGAGGACATTCCAGGAAAAGGGAATGGCCACTGAAAAGTCCTATCTTGGGTCACTGCCAACCAGGCCAGCCCCCTGTGAAGGCACTATCAATAAGGCCTCACCTGCCAATTATACGATCCAAGACTGCTGATTTTGGGGAAGGTGCTCTTTCTTTTAGGTAGCTGGGTTCCAAGCCATTTAGGGCTTGTACGCTAGTACTAACACACCCTGAATTGGGCCCAGTGCATTGAACTTGCTTATTTCCCCCCCACAATACAGTTCAAGCATATACAAGTGCCTTCTAAAGTTTAGAAACCTTTCCACATTTGTGAAATACCAGAAGAAACTATATGTATTATATGTTTCAGAACTTTGTTAATCTAAATTCTAAACATTCTTATTAACGTACCACATTTAACATGTGAAAAAAATGTTTTCAATTTTGACAGACATTATTTTCCTACATCCAACGCGAAAATTCCATTTACAATGGAATGTTATTGCTTTTTGGAAACGAGAGCTCTTTGTCTTCATAAACATTTCCCTTAGTGATCCCATAGGCTTTTTTGCAATTTTCTAGATTCCTGGCATACATCCAGTGTAGCTGATCTATTTCTAAAATGATCAAAGTAGACTTCACCAAATGATAAGGTCAACTACTAGTTTTGTAAAGAAAATCTGTACTTCTGCCTTACATCTGAAAAAGCAAATTTAGTAGACTTGAAGCATACCATCCACAGACAGTTAAGTGCTAGGGCCCACTGCTTTTACCAATTGTTAACCTACAAGAAATCACTATCACAGTGCAAGGTAGAAAGTAGAATCTTCAAGACAAAGAACAATGGAATATCTATTTAATACATTTCCCCTCACCCTTCCTTCAGTAAGCCAAGGGAAACATAATGGTTCTTTTTCCACATTTTTTTTCAGCAGCAGCCCTGTAAAGTAGGTTAGGTTAAGGCAACTACTCATTCAGAAATAATAGCAAACATGGTGTCCTATTTCCCAAGTCTATTTAAATTTCCAGAGAAAGCTTAGTGAGGCTCTTTGTTAGAGGTGGTGAAATATCTTCTCATCATACAGGCTTAATGAGGCTTAATGACATTTTAGATTACTATTATATGTTTTACATATCTATTTTTCCTCCACCCAGGGTCTTTCCAATGTGCCATTACTTCATGTAAAGCTCTCTGTTTTATCCCACCATAAGTCTACATTGTCTAGGATTTCTTTGCTGCTGCTGGTGGTGGTTGTTTCAAAGCTCCTTTTGGTATTGCTGTTGCTCTCGCTTCTCCCATCCTTCAAGTCTCTGTTTTCTCTATCCCTTGTGCACAGCAGTTCTCCACCTCGGCAGTTTGTCATTTTGTCTGAACTACCAAACTATTATGGTTTGTGCCTGCCCAGCATCCACATCTCAGGAACCCTTGGCTCTCGTAAGTAGCTGCCCCTTCTGGTGAACCATCAGAAAATTTTCCAAGGATTAGATAAAGAAGAATACAAAGTCTTCTTTTTCTTTTCTTCTCTGTTTTTCTTTTTGTTTAGATAAGTTTGTTTTGTGTGTGTAATGTATTAGGTAAAGTCTTAACAAAATTTGGTTTTTAAAAAATAATAATAATCCAAGGATTAATTCCAGGTTCAATGACAGTTTAGAATTAGATCATTTTGGTAGTTTTTCCTGAAAGCTACCTTTCCCCACTGGCCAACATTACGTGAACTGAACATGTGTTCTAAACACAAATTCTACATTACACAAATCAATATGGGAAAAGTTCCATGAAGTTTGAAGATTTGAGAACTTCCACATAAAGTCAAACTAACATGGCAGCAGCAGTGGGGCAGAACTAAGTGCTTATTAAAAGAAACAATCCCAATTGATTAGGTATACTTCACATTTCATTAAACTTCAGTTAACAAAAAAAAATATCTATGCTCAATTTCTGTCTGGCTACGTTGATAAAACCTGATTGATCCTATAGTCTTTAGTAAGCAATATATTGGATGACTCTACAAATTTTCAGGCTATGTCTAATTCTTGTTTCACAAAATAACAAGGGCAGAAGATTTGGGGAAATGAGTGAATGACAATGCCTAAGTATAGCCTTCACAGCTCCTCTGCAAAGGTCCCCCCTTCCCATGTACTAACTTTGGGACCCATGTTTACCCCATAATATGCATTTCCAGCCTAAGTGTAAAGTTCAACTACACTAAAAATCATTTGTTTTTTTCCACCATCATCTTCAATGGGCAATACTGCACACCAAGAACTACGTTACCATACCGAACCAATTTATCTTTGTTAGTTATAATTTGTGGTAATAATACATACACCACAATTATATTTTAACCTCCATTGTTTTTCTTTTCAATGTATAGTCTTCAAGATGTACAACTCAAAGAGACATAGAAAGGGTAAATGGGAACAATAGCATGAGTATCTAACACTGAAATTATCTATAAGTGATTACAATTTACCTGTCCAAAATTAACAGAACAGAATTTTCCACTTCACACACCTTTGGAAACAGGCCAGGCATCAAATATTCTTAGCCACACAAAGTAAATATTACACAAACCACAAACACTTACATAAATATATAAAACACATGTGCAAACAAATATACATAGGGAGTATTTCTGAAACATCACGTTTACAACAGGAGCAAAATTAACAGCTCTACAAAACTTGCCACCTAGCTGATGGAGCAGAACAAAACTGGAAATGAGCCAATAGTGAAAAGCCCTGATATTTTGTCTCCTTTATTCAGAAATTCTTACATGGTCCGGAATTGCTGGTTTCCTGACTGGATGACCAATAGGTTTCTGCAGCAATTAATCTGAAAACAGATAGCTGAACAGACAATATGGAAAGAATTTTATAGTCCAAATATGAAATTTAGATTTATCGATACTGGTTCAGTTTAAGAGATTGTCCTGTTTTGAAATGTGTCAGTACTCATAATATAGAAACTTTTAAGAAAGCCTCTTCTTTCTTGATTTTTGCTACCAGTATCTGTGTGTCTATCCATTCCCCCCCCAGTTCCAACATTCCATTGCCTTCAAATATGCTGAAAAATAATCCAAGATGGAACATTACAGTCTTGATTGTAAACGGGTTAGAGCCAACAAGGGTCAGAAATAGTTTTGCCCCACAACTCCAGTGGTGTCCCCGAGAGCATCCCTTTAACTTTATTTTGCTTATGTGTCATGTGTATATATAATATGTGAAATCTGAAGTAGTGGGGGCAACACTGCAATGTAGGGAAATCATGATTGCAGAGAAAGGGAACTGTATACCAAACAACAATACCCCCCCCCTACTCTGAAATACCAAGTTGTGATCAGTTTAGAAAGCCAGAAAGTAAGCTAGACCAAGCCTGCCAGTTGTGGCAACAGCTTCACAGATCAATGGGGCAATAAGATAAAACAAACAAATACGGTACATTTCTTAGCCTTCAAGCCAGAATCTAGCTCTTGTGTTCTTCTTCAACTCTTGAGATTATAACTGTCCAAAATGGGGTACAGAAATGTGTAAGACTCCCCCCCACACACACACCCTGGGTCATTTCATAATGTTTTATAGCATTTTTTTTCTTCACTTGAATGAGAACCAACATCATGCCAGGATGCAACCTGACTTGCCCTTTATCTCCTCCCACTATAAACCAGTTCCCCCCTCCCATTTCTCTATCCTGGCTTTTGCCAACCATATGCCTGCCACATCTGGAAGATATCAAAGGTTGGTGAAGGGTGCTCTATGCATATAGCCTCAGGATTTTGGCTCAGATACCACTTTATCATTAGGGGGCAACCACGCTGATTCAACATACGGTAATTCCTCCAAGCCAAGGTACAAAATAACGTAACATTACTTTGCCTTGTGCAACTGCATTTGTGCTATTACAAAAAAAGCATTTTACAAAACAAAGAAGTTTAGACTCAAGAAATGCAGCTAGGTTTTCATTCATAATTCTGGGCCTATTTTCCCCATGTGTTTGTAAGCGCCACTTCAATTCCACTAGATGGCAGACCTCCCCATTAGATCAGGTGAATCTCAGCATCCTAATACAAAGAGTCTTAAGTCCCGAAGCAACATTATTTAAATTCTGAATTACACTTTCTGGAACTTTAAAATAGTGTTCAGTGGATCAAGAATAGAGAGCCCACTTCCCAACCCCAGAGCAAAGGTATGCGTTGCTCAGCTTCATAAAGTAAAAGAGTCCTAACCTTACAAGAATAGTTACTAAAGATGTGGGAAATCACCCAAATTACTAAACTGGTGTACTGGAGAAGAATATCAAATAATCAAAAAATTGGTTGGGAGAAACACATGCATTCTTTATTAACTTTCTGAATTAAAAAATCAACACTAATATAGCTCCTTTCCACCAGTATAATTTTTTATGCTTTGCTCTCTTCTTTTACTATATTCACAGTTCTAATATTTTACAAGGCAAAGAAGGGGGGAAGGCAGCAATTAAACACTCACGATACCTGAACCTATGCATGCAGAAAACCAGAAATGGTTCCTAAGCCTTTAAAGCAAGCAAGGTGGGGAAAATAATATAGAGAACCTAAAAATATGCAAAGAGTTCAAGGTCTATAATATTAACACACATTCCTGGCAAATCTGTCTTTGAGGCCATCCCATACACCCATTACTATCAAGCCAAGTTCAAGGTCTGGTTGTTCCATGACCAGAGAGAGGACTGTCACTTGGCAAGTATGTGAGACAGTAGAAGACAGTCATGACCTTTAAATGCCTCTTGAAAACATATGTTTACGCAAGCATTTCTAGATTTGGATTCTTAATGTTTCATTCTTTGTATACCACTCAGCTTTGTCTGTGATATATAGGGTTGTACCCAACAAACACATTACTTGAGCAGAATGGTGTCCGCTCCCACAACAGAACTTCAGTTCCCCCTTCTCCCCCACCCTCAGATATGTTTTGGAGATCCACAGCATTGGTGGAAGTTATTCCACTTGCACAATGACTTTATTAGATTCAACCCATAGTTTTGTTTTTACTTAATTATGAAATTTGAAAGTTCTTGTTGGTACTTTTATATGAATTGATACTGACATTTCTTTTTATTGTCTCTGATATAAACAGCTTAAAAATTATCATATTAAACAGCGTAATATTTTATTTAAAATATATATATATAACCATGAAAACCATTTCCAAACAAATTTTCTAAGTTACAAGGCATCTGTTCTGGGCCTGGTAGCACTGCTTGTGCCCAGGAAGAGAAAGCCATTCCTTAATTATTTCTAGTTCTGATCCATTTCACTTTTGGACATGTAAACTTCCTTTGCGCTCATCAAAGCTTTACAACACAAAGAAGAAAGGTTGAAACTGCATGTTTACTACATCTCTTAGGTGCAAAGGATACCAGGGTCTCTTGGCCTTAACTTTCCTTCCTTTACTTCCTCATTCTGTTGCATGTGCACAATACAGATCCTATGCAGGAACCTACATCCTCCCAAGTCTTCCTGTGGTAATAAATTAAAAGCATTGTTCTGAAGAAACGTATCTATTAAATAAGCTACAAGTTAGGCAGCTGGTTCACTACAAGGGCCCTTCAGAGATAAGCATCCCAAAATTAAATCCCAAAGCATACACAAAAAACTATGTACTGTATCATCAGAAGTGTACTTGTCTTTTAAATCTCTGAAAGCTCTCTATACATATAGCTTTCAGAGGTTTAAAAAGACAAGTACACCTCTGATTTTATATATATCTCTGTTAACTATGCTAGTTCAAATCCCTTTTCTAACAATACAGCTGTTGAACAAGACTGTCTTTATACCCATCCTCAAGGCCGAACTCGACATTGTGATAAGCACAGGCCTGCAGCCAAAGAATGAGAGTTGCACATCTAGTTTCCCCCTCTCCCACTGCAATGATTAGAACAACTTGCCAGTGTCCTAATATCAAAGCTAAATTTTCGGCAACAAAGTTTCACAGAACATCCCATGCCATTTTCACAATGTCTACTCTGGCCTTAAAACAGTAAAATAATGTGTTCCTCCTCAGAATCCCCATTTTTAAATAAACATTTCGAAGGTTTCAAGAATACACACTTTTAAAACTTCACTTTTGAACTCAGCATGAAAAAAGATCAGGCTGTATTTGACCAAATAAAAGCACTATGGCAAGGATTGCTGCCAGCACAACGGCACTTTAACTCTCCTCCTCCTCCTCCTCCTCCTCCCTCCACGTGCACTACACTGCCCCCAGATCCGCTTCTCCTCTAGTTTGGAAGGAGGAAAGGTGGAGAACATTCCCTTGTGCAAGGAGAAATCCTCACACTGACAAAACAAGTGACCTAGTGCTATGTTGCACACAACACAGAGTGTAAAGATTATGACAAACAGCAAAAAAATATAAAGAAGGACATTTCAATGGATATTAAATGGATAAGGATAGCTAAATGGATATTATGCAGTCTAGGATATTTTTAGGACAACCAAAGTCTCCAAGGAATTCTAGTCAATACTATCCTCTATAGCAGGCATGTCCAAAGTCCGTTTGGTCTAATCTGGCCCCTGTGGCAGTTCATTTCCTATTTCCTGGGGTAAAAACTTAAAAAGTTCAACCCTAAAAAAAGCTCAATATCTTCAATCCTCAACAACTTTGGGGTAATAACATTAAAAAAGGTCAACAACTTCAATCCTAACAAAAGGTCAACAACTTTGGTCGGCCCTCACAGCCCTTAATTTCATCAAATCTGGCCCTCTTTGAAAAACGTTTGGACACCGCTGCCTATAGTAACATACAGAACAGAAGTTACCTGAAGCAACTTAATGCCCAAAGGCCACACATTATCCTCTCCGAGCATAAAAGGAATCCCAGCCTTCCACCTGGCGCCTCAGTCATCAGATCTCCCACCCACCCTCCCAGATGGGGGCTGGCTGCCACAGCACTCTTCCTAAGGCAATCTGTTTGGGGTAGTTCCTATTTGATGTGTGTCATAGGGCTCAGAGCACCTGGGCATGCAACTAGAGACAAGTTGTAAAAGTACTTCCACCAAGCAACTTCTGACATAGGGGGCATACATTAAGAAAGGGCAGAACAGAATACTGGTTCTCAATAAAATAAAAGTACTACTTGGCTATCAACAAATGTACCATCTGGATTTCACCACATCTAATGTCTTACTTCCCTGGAATTTGTTGCGCAAATGTCATACTTTATTCCATTCCTTATCTAAGTCATGTGCAAGTGAAGGTGCATCTCCTGTGCAATCTGAATGCATTTTACTTGTTATTCAGTTTCCTGTCTTTGGTGGGGAATCCAAGAAGAAAATACTTAGCACTAGGCTGCAAGCCAGGCAACCAACAGAAAGTTTTTATACTTTTGCCAAGATTTCTTGCTCTCTTTTTAAAATGAAAATCGTGACAATTATGTTGATGCCGTTTCTGAATTAGATGTGCCTCTAAAAGACAAGAGCCTATTTTGAGCTTCCAATACGCTATTTCACAAGCTCATTCACTTATTTTTTAAAAGGCAGCTTACATACCGATTTAAAGGCTAATGTTCTTGTCTGAAAACATTCGGAACCAGTCATCCTGCAGTGATTTTCAGGCAGTAATCTTGAAATGGCAATTGAATGAGAGATAGAAGGGATTCCATAGAGGAAGAAATCTATTCGTACTTTCCAAAATACTGTTATTGTTTCTTTGTCAGCTTCCTTGCTTTTGCAGTTACGCAATTAGACAGTTTGCTCTTCCAATCCTAAGAGTCAGGATTAAACACGCACACACAATAAAACAAACAAACAAAAAAGCTTCATTTAAGAATAAAACCCAGCAATCCCACACCACATTCTGCCCATTCCCATATCCTGTTAACTCTTTTCCTTTCCTGTAATAAGTACCACAGTGTGGTTTTTTCATGTAAGCGCAAGTAGGACATGAGAGCAACAGCACTCTGCCCACCTGCAATTCCCAGTAACTAGCATTCAGAGGCATAATGCCTCTGACAGTGGAGGTGGAACATCACTATCCACTAGAACCCCAAGATCTCATTCCTGGTCAGATCCCATGAGCGTATATGTGAAATTAATTTTTGTTGCCCCAACATGCATCACTTCTGTTTACACTGAATTGCCTTTGCAATTTTACTGCTCATTCACTCAGTTTGGAGAGATAATTTTGGAGCTCTTCACAATCTCTCTGTGTTTTAAGGACCAGGAACAATTCCATACCTTCAGCAAACTTAGCCACCTCACTGCTCATCCCTAACTCTAGACTGTTTATGAACAAGTTAGCAAGCACAGATCCCAATACCGATCCTTGGGGGACTCCACTGCCTTCGTATCTCCATTTGGAAAACTGTCACTTTACAGTGGTACCTCAGGTTACATACGCTTCAGGTTACATACTCCGCTACCCGAGAAATAGTGCTTCAGGTTAAGAACTTTGCTTCAGGTTGAGAACAGAAATCGTGCTCCGGCGACGCGGCAGCAGCTGAAGGCCCCATTAGCTAAAGTGGTGCTTCAGGTTAAGAACAGTTTCAGGTTAAGAACGGACCTCCGGAACGAATTAAGTACTTAACCCAAGATACCACTATATTTCTACTCCCTGCTTCCTGCAACTTGCCGTTGTGCCAAAATCTTTCTGGTAAAATCTTTCTCAATAGCCATTTAATAGTAAAATTGGGAAATTGCTTCTTAAGACACTTAAAAAACTAGCATCTTTACAAAGGCAATTCTGGTTGACAATAAAAAAAAGTATCTCATTCATTCAGTCTCCAGGATTTATGACTCAGACCATTCATCTCATCCTGGAAATGGTTGCAGATAAATTCTCCAATGCTCCAGGTGGTTTGTGGCTAATGGTGTGCAAGGAGTTAGAAGAAACACATTAATTAACTTTACAGGACCAGCAAAAATGGTGTTTGAATAAGAATATTATACAGAGAGCAATCCTATAAAACTGTTGTAACGAGCCCATGAAAGATTAATATAAAAGTGAATCGGGTTTTGTTTTAAATAACTTCATCTACTTCATCTACCTCACAATACATTATACATATACTCAGTCAGTTTCTAGAGATTGTTTTGTTTTATACTGCATGTACCTCAGCGCTGGAACCTGTATTTTTACTTCTACAGTATTATATGAGCATAGATGGAACATAAGAGTAATTAATAATAGTTATTAGTTTGTTTGACTCTAAAAACCAAGCACTGGCCAAATCATAAATGGATGCACATGGCATTACAAAAGTGGGCCTCACAACAAAATACTGCGTATGTGTGTGTATAGAGCACTCTCTTTCAGGCAGGAGACCACACAGCTTTGGAATGCCTCTCTGATTTTGCAGGTACACATAGGAACCCATCAAGGCCTGGCATGGGTCAGCTTTCAGATAACCAAATCTGTACCCTCAACCCTCTCACTTCTGAGAATCCTCTCTCCTTGAGGAGGGGTGGCTAAAAGCTCTTTAAGTACACTTAGGCAGGAATAACCAGCTGCACAAATATTAGATAGGGGACACCTGGGTTGCCCGTAGTACATGTGAAAAAGGTCTAGGGGTCTTAGTAGACCACAAGGTTAACATGAGTCAACAGTGTGATGCAGCAGCAGCAGCAGCAAAAAAGCTAATGCTCTTCTCGGCTGCATCAACAGAAGTATAATGTCCACATCACGGGAGGGCAACCAAGATGATAAAGGGTCTGGAAACCAAGCCTTACGAGGAATGGTTGAGGGAAATGCGTATGTTTAGCCTAGTAAAGAGAGACCGAGAGGAGGTATGATAGCCATCTTCAAATATCTAAAGGGCTGTCACATGGAAGATGGAGCAACCTTGTTTTCTCCTGTGCCAGAGGCTAGGATCTGAACAATATATTTTAATTTGCACATGAGAAAGAGCAACGAAGTTATCACTGCCATTTCTTTCTTTATCCATGCACCAGCACAAATGAAAACCCTGCCTCTTTTCCAAACTATCTGGTACAATCAGAGAGCTTGGAGCTGTGTCTTATCTAATTTGTGCTGATGCTTGGAGAATATTTGTGGGTTTTTTTAATGACAAGAGTTTCTCAGAATAGGTTTCTGCTGTTTATTGTGCAAACCACAGCACAATGACAGCTCAGGAAAGGTGAACTGTATGTACCTGTGTATCCTGCTCTCTCGACAACCAGGAACACTTGCCCCTGGAGAGCCGGCAAGTGGATTTTTGGTAGCTAATGATCACAAGACACATGGAGAAACTAATTCAATACCTTCAACATTAGAAGTTATCAACTAAATATCTGGGTTTATTTGCAGGATTTTAAAAATTCTGCCATGTACAGATTGCAAAACTGCAGCAAAACTGTACTTTAAAAAAAAATCCTTATATTTAAAACAAAGTCTTATTGCATCTTAAAGGCTAACAAAAGCCTAACAGTGGCATTAAGCTTTCACAAGCAGAACTTAACCTGCAACAATTGTCTTGTTTTTAATACAAGGCACTGGTCTTTTTTTCTGCAACAGACTAATACAGCTGAATTGTTTTACTATTTATAACAGCATTTAAAAATAGTTAAACCATACAAACAGATTTATTTTTAACAAAAGTAAAATAAAATGTCTGAATGTTAGGTCAAATCTGAGCTAGTGGTCCTGGAGGGGGGGGGAAGGGAAAGACATACACAAATTTCAGCATTTATAAAATTGCCTCTAGTTAGTCTCCCCCAACCTGCATTACAAATGGATTAAATCATTATATTCAGTACTTAAAGGTAAAGGGACCCCTGACCGTTAGGTCCAGTTGCGGACGACTCTGGGGTTGCGGCGCTCATCTCACTTTATTGGCCGAGGGAGCATACAGCATGACTAAGCCACTTCTGGCAAACCAGAGCAGCGCACGGAAATAGTGTTTACCTTCCCGTCAGAGCGGTACCTATTTATCTACTTGCACTTTCGAACTGCTAGTGTTTTCAAACTGCTAGGTTGGCAGGAGCAGGGAGCTCACCCCGTTGCGGGGATTCAAACCGCCGACCTTCTGATCGGCAAGCCCTAGGCTCTGTGGTTTAACCCACAGCATCACCCGCGTCCCTCGACTTAGCACAATACAAATTCTATTACAAATTACAGAAACTTATTTGCCAGAGATGTAAAATACCTATGCAAATTATGTTGTCCTGTGAACATATATATAAGGAATGAAAAGTAGCTTTGAACTATATGAATAACCTAGTAAACTTAGAAACAACTTCACAAACTTTTCAATTTTGTTCACTTCTCCCTATCCCCGATCAGAAAATACTAAGTTCTTCCACATGGCAATACAACCCCTGAGAGAACATCAAATACAGCTGCCTTAACCACCAGTTTCGCTTTATACATGTGGTAATGGGTGCTCTCACTTGATGTTATGAATTTCTCTTTGAATGAATAACAACTTAGTGTGCTATCTGTGTGAGTAATTAAAAGGTCATGCTGCATGCTAGATAGTTGCCAACTGTTTTAAATTTTAGTGTTGCACAATGCCGTCCACAAAATTTGTTTTCTATTAATGTTGTTCCAGAAGGATCACAGTCAAATGCCTTAAGTTCACTGCTCTGATTAAGTTGCCACTTTTCTGACATATCAGCATTTAATCTCACTTGTGTTAAACACACTCTATTAAGCTCATCTTTGAAAGGTCGGAAGCTACAGGTACCGCTATTTTTCATTTGAACCTTTGATGGTTTTAGATGACCTTTTGTTTTATAATTGCCAAATGAGATTGTATTAAAGTCCAATTCTTACTTTCTAGCAGTCACATGTATAAAATTTTATCTGTCTTCACAAAAGGTTCTCATTTCATCAGACTTTAG